TACCTTAATAGCTCATAGAACTAATTCCTGGTAGTCTTTTAATTTATTTCTTTATGAGACATTTCTTCTTTGAGGATATCAGGAATCTGTATTTACCACTACCCCCTTTCTATAACCTACCACCCCTTCTATAATTTCAAGATAATCCCCCTTTTTAACTTGTGCTTCTAATTTAACTTTGATTTTATACCTAACGATTTTTCAATTACCAAATAATCAGACAATTTCTGGATCAGTACTTATTGGATATTTGATCTAGGACTTACTCTCCTCTTTTTTATGTAACAATATCAGTTAAGTTTTTAAACCATTTAAAAAAGTGTTCGCCTATTTACTCTCGATAATGATATCTACTAAGTATCTTTACAATTTTAGGCCTGATGATGGCCCATAGAATCCGAAATTAGTAGCCAATTGAGGAATTCAAATATTTAAAAAAAAAAAATAACTTGAGGTTGGAAATAAAAGCGATGTCAGCATGAAATGTTTAATAAAAATCAAGCTATATAAGAAAATGATTGAAAAATAAATAAAAATGAGTGACAAGGGTGGGTTGAAATATTGAAAAACTCCTAATTCAAAAACAAAGAACGATATAAATTAAAATCTAAAGAAAAAATCAAACTTTATAAGAGCATAAAGCCAATTGATTCTAAAAAAAATTTTATTAAAAATGGGGGTTATGTTCGTCTGTTAAACTGTGAAGAAGTATAGAATGCCAAGCATTATATATCTTTATTTTAGTTTTCCATTCTAAATCAGAATAAAATAATTAAAACACCATTGCGACAAAATATTCCACTTTATTGAAAACTAAATAACTTTAAAAAGGAATATAAACACACACGTCATTGAGAAAAAATTATTATGATTTTCTGTTGGTCAATAAATTGAATGAAGTTATACTGTTACAATCACCAAATTTTCCGCCCTTTTGGTGGTTTTCTTGCATTTTCTAAGGTAAATAAACTCTTCCCACTTAATAAAACATTTATTTATAAGTAAAGTAACATTGTACAAAGGACTATTGTCTCCACAGGAAAAAGTAATTTTAAATCTCCTTTGTTCCTAAATCTCCTTCGGTTCTAAATCTCCTTTGGTTCTAAATCTCCTTTGTTAGTAAATCTCCTTCGGTTTTAAATCTCATTTGTTCCTAAATCTCCTTCGGTTCTAGATCTCTTCGTTTTAATGTCCTGAAATAAATTAAATATATTATTAGTCGATCACAACAACATAGTTAAATTAGGTTAGCAAACAAAATATGACATCTGTCGAATATTCTTCTCGGTTAGAAGGTCCTAAATGGCTTAAGGTTTCGGCGACCCTGAAGATTGAGACCTTGGCTGTCAGTCCATAACATATTTAAGCAAGAAGAAGAACTTACTTGGTGGGAATCGCCTCCATTTTGCCTAACGGTTTCCGGTTTTGTTTTTTCTGGTTTGAATTGAAGAAAAAACTGTCCTTAGATCTTGGTTCTCGTGAGTTGCACGTATTGGTTTTCCGGATTTTTCCAAGTATAAGGAAATAGATCATTGTCAAAAGTAATTATTAATAGACCTAGGGATATATTTATCGCAATTTGTGGATTTTCTTTTGTCTATTTCAATTTACACCTTGAGGCTACATTATATCAGTGGTAAGTGCCCCGCTTTATGCCAACAGTACGCTTTAGGTATGAATTTTACTCACCTGCCTTTATTATTTTAGGCTTCCTTTCTTTAAATAGAACACCATATCATCATAGTTTAGGGTTTCCATAACCGCCCTTCTTTTCTTATCCTTGCTACCTGCATAAGGGTTAAACCAGTCAAGTTTCTACCATCTCGTCGGCGCGGAATATTGCTGAACGTCGAGACACCTGAGGCTATCTACAACAGGGAATAAGGAACCACCAGTAACCGAATAAAAATATCAAAGAAGTGTACTTACCGAGGTAGTTTGCACCCTGAGACAGCTCCTGCCATAGACGAGGGCATCGCAGGAGAGACAAGTAAGCTCTTTCCATATCCTTTGGGACTTTAAAAGTGATTAGTCACAAAAACCTTTTCAAACATAGTTTTAAATCATTTTAACTTTAGTTATAGGTTATTTAAGGTTTGGTTTCGAAACTCCACTCGAACGTTTAATTTCAATTAATAGGTTATCTACTTTTGATGAAAAACCATATCGATATTTAGTTTTGAAATAATTAAAAGAAAAAAATTAAAATAGACTGGCTAGTAATACAAAAGCGAAAGTGGTGTTACTAGTACTAGTACCTATTATTTCCGGAATTTTTTGCGAACTCACGATAATTTTTTTTTTAATTTTCAGACAATAATTTAAGCACCTGTAAGAAAATTTTATACAGAAATATCAAAATTTCAAAACTTGACAGACATGCATTAAAATGAATAAAATCAAATTTGCAAAGCTCATATCTGTAATATTTTAAGTCGCTTAGTTGACGCGAAAAACCTAATTTTTATTTTACTTATTTCTATCTAGTTATAACTGGTATTAAATAAAATATTCACCACTGAATTTCCAGTGTTATTTCGGTCAGGGTACCTACCCACCAAGAGACTGGTTGACATGGAAACGTTTTAAAATAACAGCATTTAATCGGCTATCAAACAGAGGTGTAATATTTTTAACCTAATCTATGCCATGGTAAAAAGTGTGGCAATGACTGTACCACCATCACAGAATATAGAAGAAAGCTACTATTTGACCATTATTGGAAGCTTCTACCAGAACGACTTGGATAGATATTGGATTGTAGCCTCAAGTCAAACAATATCAGTAAAACAAAAGCTAGCTAATACGTCATATTTATTACTAAGCGAGTAATTCTGCTTTCGGACTTTCGAGGATCTTCGAGAAAAAAAGTTTTTACAAAGTTGATTGTTATCAATTTTGTTAAAAAACCTTTTAGCAGTTCCACTACATTATTGTCCTAAAGACTCTAGTCGTGTCTACTTCACCAAGAATACAAAAATTTGTCTAATTTATATAAAAATAATAAGAAAATTTATATTGAAAAAGGAATCACTGGATTCCATGTTCCAAAAAAATACAAATGCCTAAAATGTTTAAAATTTCAATCAACTGAGGACAACCCAGAACTTATTAAAGAGAAAATAGAACATGAAAAGGGAAAAAAACGATACTTATTTCAGTTTTAAAGTTCATCAAAATGTTTATAAGGATCAATCAAGCAGTTTGTGCGTGAGTTTTGATTTACGGAAGGTACTAAAAATACACCTAACGGTTATTGTCACATTGTGACTGCTGTCTTGGCCAAAACCGTTAATGGAGTAGTTATGGAAATGATTCACTCAACCCTTTAAATTTGTAAGATCATTGATACCATAGAGATAAATTATTTGTTGACACGCCATACCTACATACCTCTGGACTCTGTACACGCAGTTATTAAGAAAAATATAAAAAACAATCATAACGTATGCTCCTTTATAAAGCTATACCATAATATATACAACAGCAAGATAAGCTAATCCCATATATTGTTGAGGAAACGACTCATAGGGATTTCATAAAATGGGACCCGGTATCAGCGAAAATAGTTTATAGGAAGCCCTTATGGCCATAAGTAAAATTCGAGTAGCCACATTAAAAAATTTGCCTTAAATACTCAATAAACGAAACAGCCGAATCTATATCAATTGACATGCAACCTAAAACTAAAACTGCACTTGAGTTAAATCACATCAAGTGGACCCCCCATTTTCTACTTGATCATCGAATTCAGGTATCAGTATTTTTTCATGAAGTATTCACTATAAACAATTAATCCCCAAAACAGTTTTAAATAATTTTCATTTTAACAACAATTTTTGTATTAATGAAAATTTGTATGACTTTTAGTTAAAAAATCGATAATTAAAAAACTATTAAAGATATTCTAATGAGACTTTCAGAATTTATAGGTCAATACGTGTATTTTGATAAAATGTGCAAGAGTTTAAATTATTTATTTATTTATTTATTTTCATATTGCTAATTAACTTTTAAGTTAACTAATGAAAATTTTAATGACTTCTCCCTCAAAAAACGAAATTATTTTTTTTTTTCGGTATTATGCTTTAAACATTCAAGTAACAGAATCCACAAAAAAAATTTGACTGCTCGCGATTAGAATAAACAAAAAAAAATTATTAATGACGGGCGCCGAGCGCTGTCGGTACAGCGCGCTACCACGCGTCATTGACTTACCTTTAGATAGACTCAGTAATTATAAATAAGAAACAATTCTTTATTTTTTTATTAAAAATAATGGTATTTAATAAATGATTTTATTGAAAAAAATTACAAAAATTTAATAAATAAAATAATAACAAATTATAATAATAAATCTATCAATATTGCATTATTTTTTTTTAAACTCTGTAACAATTTTAACGTCTTTGGAAAAAATCTTGCACTCGAGTGATATATTATTTAAAACTTGGTAATGATGATACTGACGAGTATTTTTAATCGTTACAGATTGATCATGCCGTGATTTATACTTTTTTTCATGAGCGTCATGGTCTTCTTGGAAGCAGAAACCAAAATTAATTTTTTTAAATAAATTTTTAGCCCATTCAAACAATGCAAGCGCATTTGTAATATGTTTATCACTATCCCGTTAAAGACTAGCACGATAAGCTTGCCTTTTTACACTTCCTGCTAAACCATCACATGCTCCTTTTCCGTGAGATGTAGCAAAGAAGTTTCATTCCGCATCAACGTTAAAATCATTTTTGTGATTTATTAAATTGGCAAAATTATACTTATTTTTGTACTGAGAAGCAGCTCCATCCGAAAGATAGAAAATTTTTGTAATCTTATCTGCTCCAAACTTATTTTTTAAGAACTGAATTAATTTAGAATTAAAAAGATGAACTGAACTCGCGTCGTGACCAACTTTTTCTGAAATGATGACATAGTTTTCATGTTTTACTTCTCCATTGTCTCTATAATACACTACGTAAGAATGAATTGTAGCCTGGTTGTTATTCCAAATGATGAGATTGGATTGCATCTTGTACAAATAAACTATAATTTTCTGCAAAATCAAGACAGACGATAAATTCTCCATCTTCAACAGATTCCTTTTTTTCTGTAAAATATGATGCTTGAGATCTTGCAAGAAAATCATGTCTCAATAACTCAGGCCATTTTTGTCTTAAATCATTAAAAAAATATTCTTTTTTTCTTTTTTTCTTCAACGATTTCAGTCCTGTAAATTTCAAGCAAACTTATTAAATCAAAATATTTATAAAAAAGAGATAAAAAAAGAATTTACAATTTAAATGGACAAATCTAATAATTTCATTATTAATATGTTGGTATAAGAAAACTGTAACTATACGAAACAAATAGAATTGGTATTTATTACAAAGTCAAGTAAATAAAGTTTTTTTATTTATTTATTTATTTATTTATTTATTTATTTATTTACGGATTTCCAGTACATATTGAAGTAAGTAACTCTAAAAATTTTAAGATACAATCGTGATTTAGGCAAAATTTTCCTTACCTGTCGGTACTTTTCCATTGGCTGTATGTAATTTCATTGATTTCATTATCACCAAGCAATAGTTCTAATTTATTTATTAAATTATCAGTTCCTGGGCACTTAGTACACTTTGAAAAATAACATAATGAGGTAGATTCTTGGCAAACAGAGCTTTTAATTAAATCATTTGAACTTTCTGAAAAAATCGTTCCTTTTTTTTTAATTAATTTTTAAATCCATTTAACTGTAGTTTGATATTTTGATGAATTTTACACACACATACGTTATGAGTCCCACTTTTGACAGCCGATATGCATTCACGAGGACGGAGTTTTTGAAATTTTGTTAGTCCAATCTTTTCGTCAGGGAAAGCTTCAGTAAATTTTTTATGTAACTGATGAATATTATATAGTAATAACCGTTTTTGTTTTTGGACTTTTTTTCCATATTCCATCACCGATACATATTCTTTCATCCCAGGCATCACGCGGCTGACATCATCGGATAAATAGAAATCTTGAATGTGCTGGAGTGTTTCATTTTTCAGAGTTTTCCCTTCCTTAATTTTAGGCTGTGATGCGAATCCTCTTTCTTCCCTGATTTTTTTTGCGGTTTTCACCATTCGTTTGGAAACTTTAAATAATTCTATTCTTATCATTTTTATTGACCAATCTGAAGGAAGCGATGTCAAAATTTGAATTTTATCAGTCGTACTTGTTGTATCATTAAAAGCAGATTTAAAATTATTAAGCAATGTGTCATTTGGATTATTTACACTATTTACATTACTGTTATTTTACTCACAGCACTTTTTAAAACTTTTGCACATTCTGTGGCTTTTGACATTCGCATGACTTTTATTGGATGTTCGCCAATTTCCAATAATAATTTATTAACCTTATCAATTTTTAATTTGTTATCTACCAAGTTGCATGCAAAAGAAGGGTCTTTTTTTTTTCATCATCTTCAATAAAAGTGTTTGACGATTCAGGCTCGTTGGAATCAGAACATTTGTTGACCGATATCGAATTTCAGGTTTTCGACCCAAATAAATTGCTCGTTCACATGAATTACACATATAATTCCCAATAAAATCTTTAAAAGCATAAGCGCGTGTTTTTCAATTAATTAATGATAATTTTTTTATGGTTTTTTTTTATTAAACGGATTACAGCACTTATTCACGCGGCTCATGATAGATAAACAAAATAATAAACGTCAATAAAATTCAAAACACAAGTACAATTTGAAACAAATTTAAAACAAACTAACTAGATTTAGATCAATGGAAACTGTTAAGCACAAATTTATTAAATAAAAATTCTTATCTTTAAAATTTATTCACTGATGTGTTAATAAACGGATTTAACAAGTGAACTCTAATGGCTTGTGATATTCTTTTGTTATTCATGTGTATATATATAAAAAATTTTTTTGTTTGTAATTTGTTTCAATAAAATCATTTATTAAATAACGTTACTAAGTCGATTTATAGGTAAGTCAATGACGCGTGGTAGCGCGCTGTACCGACAGCGCTCGGCGCCCCTCATTAATAATTTTTTTTTGTTTAATCTAATTGCGAGCAGTCAAATTTTTTTGCGGATTCTGCTACTTGAATGTTTAATGCATAATACCGAAAAAAAATTTTTTTTCGTTTTTTGAGGGAGAAGTCATTAAAATTTTCATTTGTTAACTTAAAAGTTAATTAGCAATATGAAAATAAATAAATAAATAATTTAAACTGTTGTACATTTTATCAAAGTACAAGTATTGACCTATAAATCTTGAAAGTTTCATTAGAATATTTATTATATTTTTTTAATTATCGATTTTTTAACTAAAATCCATAAAAATTTTCATTAATACAAAAATTGTTGTTAAAATGAAAATTATTAAAAACTGTTTTGGGTATTAATTGTTTATAGTGAAAACTTTATGAAAAAATACTGATACCTGAATTCGATGATCAAGTAGAAAATGGGGGGTCCACTTGACGTGATTTAACTCACTTACTACATGTTATAAATCTCTTTAGCCTATATCAAAAGCTAAATACGATGATCTTCGAAATAGTTAAGTCTCTGTGAATTAGAATTTGTCGCTACCTTATTTAATTATAATATCATAAAGATCAGTGGTTTTCTATATTTGCATCACTCATCGATTGTCAAGTTTAGAAAGTTTTAAATATAGTGGCGTCCAATATTCTCTTTCAAAGTCATATGACTTGTTTAATAACCTGACCGACTTCCCAAATCGTAGAGCTTAAAACACTATAAACATTTATAAAATAATAACATCACATTACTTAAAATATCATAGTAGTTTAGTAGTTTAACGGCTTTCACAGGTCACTGCTTATAGGACATTGACATGCTTACACCTACCATAATTGCTTTTCCACTGAATCACCGGATGCACAAAGTAAGAACTTTCCTTTATATGTTGAATGGACAACCAGGAACCACCTACTTATAGAACATAACTATAAAATCTTAATAATATTTCATAATTATTTTGGCATTACCTTTTCCTTTTATGTGAACGATTGGTACCATTCGGCTATTATTTTTATAATTTTATTGATTCTATACACTATAATAAGTAAATGTATTGCTGCATTCATATGATGATGATTAATCAGTAAATGTTTAAAAAGTGTCTTTCTCCTGTTATACTTACAATCTTCTAACACCCCCCCTAACTCTCCGGGTCACAATAGTGACAAATACTTTTCTTTTTATTTAGCTGGGCATAAAAATATATAAACTAGTTTAGTTAAGGATTATTACGTATAACAAATTAGAATCAAACCCACTCCTTAGGGGTAAAAAAAAGTAATATATCCCTTTTTTTTAAATTTTGCAAACTTTTAAACAGCTGTATCTATTTGGACTACCAAAATCAAATTATTCTTATTTCATTGCAAATTTAGTCTACTAAAAAAGTGTGAATAGTAACTTTTGCCGTAACACAGGTATTTGGTGCTAAAAATTGACAAAAACTGAAAAAAATCTAAAAACTTAAAGAATTTTTTAGTATTTAACAATGATCCGAAGGGCTTTCGAGGTGGAGAATTTGTATTTGTCATTACCATCTCATCAATACAAACCTATCAAAAAATCAGAACTACCTCACTTGATGTAAGGCAAAAAGTACCAATTCCATGGACTAATAGACATAAAAAAATTTGAACATATCTATAGGTACTAATATAAATGACACATTGCCAGAAACCGATTCAGAATAAATTATAAGAACAATATTTTCCTGACATTATATGTTTAAATTTTATACTATTATTTTGTGGATCTGTATTCTATCTTGATTTTTTACTTTTTTAAATTATTTTATTATTTCTGGGTTTTAGTTGAATTTAAACATTTTTTTGATTTTTCGTACAGTATATAAGAATAAAGAAATGTTTCAAAAAAATAGTGTTAAATTATGTTAGCTTATAAGTTTCTTATGCATTTTTGTATTGCTGTTTTCTGCGCGAATTATATGATAAGGAGCTGGTTAAAGTTGAATTACTTAGCGGTTGGAAAAAAAGACATTTTGTTGATTACGCCAATTTTTGTAAATTTTGGAATTGGGATAGATCAGGTGAAGCCTCTTGTCTTGATCTAGAAAACAAAGATCACGGCACAAAGCATGATTTAAATTCTAATTTTGCAAATAGATAATTTTACCATAATATTTTTTAAAAATGTCTGAGCGACAATAAAATTAACAAAAGGTAATATTAACATCATTATTTGGATTTAAGATCATATAGCAGTAAGTTAGAAAAATACCAAACATCTAACCGATACATAATTTTTAATGACTTTTTTTTTCAATTTTTCACATAAAAATAGTTCTCCTGAGAAGTTTATATTTTGTCGCTCATCTCATTTTGCCTTTCAAGCGTTGATAGGCAACTAACAATACAGGAAAGTAATATTCATTGCCTAGATGTCAGTAATTTTTTACCAACACCAAATTTTATAAATAATCTAGTTAAAGTTAGAAAAAAAGATGCATGTAACACGTTAGGAAATGCCGTTTTATGTAACTCGTTTATGTTGCGAAACCTCGCTCTGCTTGTACCGCAAATATTAACTCGTTTTATAAAATAAGGTATTTCGTAACTGGTTGCATAAATAGTTATTTTGTAACCAGTTCGACTTTTTGTAAATTATTACCTGAAGTTGATAATTTTAACACTTGCTGCGATAACAAAAAAATGTCAGTTTATGTGGTAAAATTAAAAAAAAAAACAATATTTCACAAACTTGTACAATATATAATAATGTGGTATTTGTTACTAATTATTGATTTTTTCAGCGATAAAGTGATAGATAATTTTCTAATAAAATAAAAAAATAACAATAAAAGTATTAAAATAAAGAATATTATCCAATCCGCCAGAAACGTCGCACACTGGGGCAAGAAGCCTTCAAATTTGGCAATAAATAAAAAAATTAAATAGCGTACACACTCTACCTCATATTTTTTTCTGATGTATTACTGTCCACTACATAATAAAACGAACAAGTGCGATCTTCTGTCTCACGCGTTTCATCACCACCCTCAGTCGAAGTTACTTATCTGAGGCGAGTATATATTCAGTAGTAATACTATAAGTACTTCAAAATAATCAGGTTATACATCGATAACTTGTTGCATAATTATAAAGAGTGTCAGTTTGACAGTTTAAATAATCCGACCGCGAAGCGGGAGGATTATTCTGTCAAACTGATACGATTTGTAATTATGCAGGAAGTTTGAGATGTATAACCGTATTTATTTTGAAGTACGTATTGTATTTGATACGATTATTTTTTGAGTAAATTAAGTAAATATCAACAATTTATTAATTTTAATACATATTGGTACAATGAAAATTACAATTATTATATACTACGTTTTTTTTAATTCTCTGCGCTGGAAATGTGGCCGCTGCTCATTGAAGTGCTGGAAATACTGAAGGTGTTATTACTTGAACCTGTAGCGTTTTCAAAATTGGATCTCATCTTATTTATTATGTTTTGGTGATGTTGTTCATCTAACTATAGGTAGGGT